TTTGGGTGGATGACAATTCTTTCTGTGAAGCAACCATCTTCCAAGTTGGATCTCTTTGGGTTTCTTTCTCTTCCCATCAGTTTTGCTCCGTTTGAGTCGCTTATTTTCACTTCAATCATTGTTCCTCAGGCGAGTTTTCTTGGCCATTTGTCAGGGATTGTTGTTGGATATGCTATAGCATGGGGTTTGATTCATGGGATGACCAATTACTGGGCACTTTCCTTGTTGGGATGGATTGTGCTTGTATTTGTTTTGAGTTTGAAGAGATCTGGTGCGCTTGACCTAAACTTTCTTGAGATTGAATCTGTTACTGATCCTTCCTTGCCATCTGTGCGGTTTTTGGCATCAAACAGTGGCCGAACACTGCAGATGAGTGCGTTGCCAAATGGAAATGTTGAAATTGTCTAATGATAAACTGATATATCTTATGATATCAGATGTTGCCTTCACACACTCAATATTGATAGCAATGTGATTCTAATTCTTCCAATATAGAATTTGTTTAAAGCTTCAGTAATATCCTTTTTAAGAGTTTGCATATTTAGTTATGTGATAATGAATGTTCTCAAATGCTGTATATCCGCTTTTTGAATTGATGCTGCTTTGCGAATTTGCTGCTACTTTTTGCCTTTTGTTTAATTTGTGTGCTAGAATATGATTCTGTCATGGATGATTAGATCATATTGAGATATATTATTACCATTTTATTATATTAGAAATTAGTGACTAAGTTTATGGAAGTGCCACTCTTATTATCATGCAGGTAATAAAATGATTGTATCCTCCTTGTTCCCTCTCATTGAGATATATTATTACCATTTCCTTTTTTTAGTAAAAAAATATTTGTATTATAGATAATACATGCTTTGTGATTTTTGGGTTTTGAGTTCCCTGCTTTTTCCAACAAAAGCTGAAACTTTTGCTCCGATTTGGTTCTGGTTAGAACAATTTCTGCTCAGTAGCCTGTAAATATAAGCAGTTTGGAAGGAATACTGTTGGTTCAAATTTGTTTTTCAGATAGAATTTCTTTGCTCTGAATTTTGCGTTGCCAGGCCTAGGTTTGTGGAACATCAAAATTTTGCTGGCTGCACGTTTTGAGTGCTTTGTTGCAGGGATAAGTTTTAGAAATTGCATAAAGTATGTTGTGCAGATTTGTGGTGTTTAGTGTTGGAATTTGAATGCTTAAAAACAACTTTAGGCGTGTTTATTTTGCCATCAGGCTCCGTTGAACGGAAAAGGTATGTGAGATAACTTTTCCATTGAACGGGACTTTAGGATTCATGCTTTTTCTAAAACAAACACACTATTTGTCATGTAGATCGTAGTATACTAGTACTACTTACAACATGCATAATTGGGGGGGCAGGAAGGGGGTACTGGGGAAAATCCGGCCCCCAATGGGGTGGGGAATGGGGATGAGTACCAAATTTCATCCTTTTGGCTATCAGGGTTGAGGAAATTGTAGGGAGTCAGGGGCGAAGAAGGAAAAACCCGTCTCGTTCCACTGCCATGACGTCCCGTTGCCATGCTTAACGTCTAATATTTTATTGACTATATGAAATGAGCAGAGATCATCGAAGGATTTGGTTTGGATTTTCATGATTTATGCTGCTTGTCACCATACAACCTGAACTGTAGAACAACAATTTATAATGTCTGAAAAATTAATATTCAGCTTTATATAGTTGGTTAGCCGTCTATTGCATTTCTGTTCACTTGCAAAGCTTATTGTTGACGATGTTATATCAAGTGATGACCATCGAAAAGATGCTCAAATTGGTAGTTCAAAGTCCTCTAAAGATTTTGAGCATTAATGTGGTTCTTCGTGGTGTAAAACAAGCCTCAAACTGCTATGTGACGATATGTTGATTAACTAAATTGATGTTTGATGTTTTTAAATGACCAACTTGATGTTTGTTGAATCTTTGAAGGACAAATTTGAGTATTTACTCTAAACCATTATACATCCACATTAAACTTCTTTGATGACCCTATCTAACTTGACAATTTTGCATAAAGGGACAGTTTTTTAAAATGAAAATTTACTTTTAAAATTTTAATATCAACTAATTTCATTATATGTGTGTGGGTGGCTTTTTAGTTGATTGTATATATATATATTAAATGGTTAAAAAAAAGGGTCTTGGTTGCTTGATTGAGTTAGGGAAAGCCCCAAATTTTTGTATATTATACTTGGCAATCTGCAATCTTCCCCGCAAGAAAACTATCGAACTATCATGGAGATTAAGGACTCGTTTATTTGATAGTTAGATAGAACTGATTTTAATAGAACTAATTTGAGTTATTAAATGTAATTGTGACGAGCATTCAAATTAATCTCACGTCATAGATTTATATCGAAACCGAATGAAACATGTATTTTTTTTAATTGGGAAGTGCAGAATTGATTTTACAATTTCAATAATTAGGTGGTAAAATAACAGTAATTGATTTGACATCAAACTCATTTCTCTAGTTTTTAAAGCTATATTTCTGCTCAAATCAATAACTAATATTGTCTAAGCCAATAAAGCAACTGATGGTTGGATATTTATTTAGGCATAAATACATGAGCAGAGAATGTCATATCCTATGACAAGTAATTGGCAGATAAGCCGATCCAGTGATAACAAAATAGGAATGCTAGCTGCAATTTCTTCTGTTCACTGTCCTTTCTCTCGGCATATCCCCGCATCTCAGCTGGGACAAAAAATTGCAGGATTGTCCACAATTCATCTCAATTGGAACCTCTGTACGATGAATTCAATTGCCTTTAGGTTGTATATTTACCAGAAGGCGCTCGATCCCCACATTGCAGAGTTCCACCTTCCACCTTGAATTAAAGTGTAAAAGTATTTAAACTACAAGAATGAATTACTAAAGAAAATATACAGCTAAAATTCTTTATGTTGCCATAAAAGAGGTGCATAATGATTGGATAATGGTTATAATAAAAATATTTAATTTTTGGTCGGCCATGTTTACTGTTTCCAAATTCCAAGTAAAATACAATTTAAACTTATGGAAACCAACAAATGTTTTTTATACACACAAGTCTAGGGATTGAACATCTAACTACATGCTTGGTTAAGTTATCTGTCAATCTCATCACACGAAATCGGTTAGTCTTAACTCTTTCTGCAGTAAAACAACTTCTTGGTGCAATTTAATTACTTGCCATCTCCAATGCAAACAAAGTCTATATAAACAAAGGGTATTGACTATCGCACTGTTTCCATATTTCCATTGTCATCATCCACATGATAACAATGATTGAATTGAGCTATTTTTATGATCATGGCAATATATCTTAGACTTGTATAATTTGTGAAGAAAATTATTCTAGAAATCATGTAAACCCCCATTGAAGAAAGTAGAGTAAACACGTGCAGTTTGATGCAAAGTCAAGCAATGAGTGCAATCTCTGAAGAACCCACATTTAGAACTTCATATGCTTCAGCAACAACCCCAGATATGATTTATTTAAAAATATATGGCAATTCAACAATAGATTATGTCATTGGCTATATATTAAGCACACCAAAACGTAATTGGCTGGTTTATCAACAAAGCGAAACCAATGCTGAGGCTTTTTGGATCATGCAAGGAATGAATACGTACGTATATGAATTATGTGTGTGTACGTATATTCCAAATTCAGATACATAAACATGCAAACCTGTACACGCAAACAAGGAGCCTCTGCAGAACTTATTATATCACAATTGAGATCTGGAATTTAAGATATGCTTGCTACAATCAAGATCAGGAAAACCTCAGAAGTATAAGCTAACCGATTAGCGCCCAAGAGACGTAGACAAGAAGATGCAAATCCATTAGCATTCTTCTTTTGCTTTTCTTTTAGGTTTATTAATAATGTTGGGGTAGAGGGTGTCACAAAAATCACTGAGAAAAGTTCATTCAAATTTCACTCACCAAATAAAGCTTCAAAACTCAAAGTGGACTTGAAGCTATATAGCTGATTTTTGGCTACTTTACCTTCAACTGGGAAACACTTGGATAATTAGAGCCATCCTTCATGTCTTTTTTGTTTAACAATCGCTAAACTTAATTTAGATAATTTTCTTTTTAAAAACTAAAAAAAAAGAGTTAAAAATAAGTTATAGATTATATATTATTTCATAAATTGAAACTAATTTATGAAAATTATCAGATAAACTAATATAAGAAAGTTTCTGTAAATTAATTAATACATAAGCTATAAGAAAAGCTTAATTAAGTTTTTTTTTTTATATTTTTTTTTCTAAAAATATTATAGAAAACTTTATTCAAACAAACTTAAAATGCAACATCTTTTCTGGAAAATTGACATCTCCAAAGTCTCTGCAATGGAGTGGATTTTCTGCCATGTGCACTGCACTGGACAAGATGTTCAAAATCAAACTAACCATAATCAGAACTTGACAAATTACTACAACACCATCACACCTAGATAATCACACGTGGCAGATCAACCGACAAGGCCACAAGATACTCAACACGTGTCCATCATTATCTAACTATATAGGCTCAGCAAATGATAGTAACTTATCCTCTTTGGACAAAACTTGGGCAATTTTTTTAGTGCTTAGGAGATTTTTAATTTTCTGATTGAAATTAGAGTCTCATTTTATAATTTATATTTTTTCAATACAAATTTATATTATACAAGCACATTTTTAAATTTGAAAAACAACTAAAAAATACATATGAAATTTTATCCAATTTTTTTTCCCTATCACATGATTTACATTTTTTTTCTAGCAAATGTTGTTTACTTGACTCTAGTGGTTCATGGTGTGCCAAGGATATAGTAGAGACAAATTACTCGATCCACATGCAGATGCAGTTAAAATGAGATGCCAAAGTGGGCCATGTTTATCAATTATCATATAGTACTAGTAAAATGGGATAAATGCATATTAATTAGCATGTTTTTGGTGGCCACAAAAAGGCAATATTCCATATATATGTGGCTGATCAATTAGCACTACCCTTTTCATCTGACTATATAGTACCCTCCATCCATTGCCCTTTAACTTGCACTTTACAACCTTTTACAGCTACTCATTTTGCTTTATCATTGCTTTGCACTTTGTTTTCCAATATTGTTGTAAATTTTGCATTAGTTCATCATCATCATGCTAGAAGGCAAGGCTGTGATTGGTGAAACTGACATGCTCAAGACCATGCAGCAAGATGCCCTAGATTTAGCATCCAAAGCACTCGATTTCTTTGATGTCACTGAAGCCATCGAGATAGCCCGATTTATAAAGAAGGTAAGTTGGAAAATAAATAAATAAATAAATAAAACTCTTGTAAGATTTTGATTTTTGACATGATAGATATTTCTTTAATATATACTTAATTCTGTTTGGATTTTAGTTTGGATTTTAATTTTGATATTACTAAGGATTTTTGAGAAAATGCTATATCATCCAATTAAAAATCACTATATTATCATAAGTCTATTGATTTAGATAACGATTATTAAAAAAATTATTATTGTTTGACCGATAAAAACTTTTATATTGATCATATTTATTAAACTCAAAATGTTTACATTATTAACAAATTAAAAATCATAGTAAATATATCTATTAAGAAAATCATAACTTTTTACATTTTATGCTGTCAATCTTATGTGAGAATCACACAATAATAACATAAGCTAGTGTATTTTAATTAATTTTTTTTTCCCTTGGCTGAGATTAGTGATAAAATGGGTTCTTAATTAATTTAATCATCTTTGGTCATTTTCTGTGTGTTGTTAATGCAGGAATTTGATAGGATGCATGGACCTGGTTGGCAGTGTATCGTAGGCACTGATTTTGGTTCGTTTGTGACACACTGCTGTGGCTGTTTCATCTATTTCTGTTTAGGCAACATGGCCATTTTGCTGTTCAGGGGCTCAGCTGCTCCAGAGGCACATGAAAATCAGTTCTCGGCACTTGAGGCAGCAAAAGCAAAAGCATGAATTCACTGCCTAATTTTCCCTCTCTTTAGACTCTTATATTTTTGTTCACTCCATGTAATGATAATGTAGAAAGAAATGGAAGGTTATTGAGATCAGAAAAACATATTGGTAGAGGTCCATAAATTATCTACAAGTGAAAGTTAATATATATATATATATATATATAT